CTAATGTATGTATGTCAGTGGTCAGATAAAGCCATCTAATGACATCACTTTGGGCTTTATAGTTATATATTTTTATGTATATAATTTTCTTTTCAGACCAAACAATGAATCAGTTGATTGGAAAAGGAATCTGCAGGTTAATTGATAGTATTATAATAATAATAATCATTATTGCAGTCTTAGGTGACTCACAGTGCTCTACAGGAAGTGTTTCCAGCTGTGTAGCTGCAGAAAATCATTTTTGGCAGTTATTGACAGTTTTATGCTGTTAAAAATACGTTTGTTTATTTATCACGACACAAAGACTGTCACTTAATACTGCTGACTCTGTCTGAGGGCTGAGTTCAGTTACAGAGCATTTTCTATCTAATTCAAACACCTGTCTCTCTTTCTTTCCCTTTTTTGTAAAAGCTCAAAATCCACCACTAAAATGTTTGTGTAAAGATAAAGATGAGATTAAAGGCTTTGTATAGTTTCTGTTTTGTCTAAGCTAAACCCACTTCCAGCAGATGCTCTCAGTTTCTGTGTGTATGTGACTGTTTCCCCCTGTCATCCTAACAGAGAGGAAACGCCACCGCCCCAGGAAGTGTCGGTCAACGGGCCGGTCTGAGCGCGAGCAGACTGCTAAATCCATCTGCGACGGTGCCGCGGACTGTGGGCCTCCTCCAGAGTGACTCCCCTAAATAACCTCACTGCAACTACGGTGTTTTTACTGAATCACTCTGCCATGTTATTGGACCTGGACACTGCCAATCAACACCAATAATGAGGCGGCGGAACATGTGAGAAAAAAAAAAAAAGGAAAAAAAAGAAAAATAAGAAAAAAAAACCAACAAATCCAACAGACAGAATGGAGTGTAGAGGAATCATCTTCAAAGCCTTTTTCCCGATGTTGCACATAATTACGTGCGGTTTTAATGTAGCAGCGATCTTTTGAAACGACAGAATCCGAGGGGTAACATCATCATTATTATTTTTTTATGTCCTGAAAGATTTCTCTCCTACTTGTTCGAAGCTGTTGGAAATCCCATTGTTAGGGATTTTACATCGTCACCCCTGAATGGATAGCACAGGCTAACTTTTAATGATGCCTCAACAATAAATACCTTTTTTGAAAACTTTTTTTTTCCTTCAAGCTTAAGAAAAAGCACTTATGCAGCCATTTACTGTACATTATAGCACAATGTAAGTGTTCTACCCTCATCTCTGCTGGCTGTCTTATCTGTCCCCTCACCCAGATCAAGGTTTTTATCCATTGTTTCCGTTTTTTCTCTCTTCGGTTGCTGTTGATGAAACATCTCTTGTTGTCATACATCACCAGGTTTCTGAATGTTTTGAAGTGCTTCATGAGGGTCCGTTGAGGAGGAGGAGGAGGAGGAGGAGGTCGATGAACAGAGCTCTAATAGTATTACTGTCTTTTGCTCATGTGCAATAATGTCAATAATTAGCCATTTTATTTAAAAATGAAATTCAACATGTCTTTTTAAAAAGAATCAATCTAGCGTTGGAGACTCATTTGGTTTAGGTTTGGGCAAACAAATTTGGATATAATCTCAACTTGATCTTTCAGATTTTTAAAATTTTTTAATTTTCTTTTTGTTTTGTTTTTTTCTTTTTAGTGCATGTATAACCGGTTCTCTGTTGACCTAGCTAGTGAGCTAAGACCTTCTGATTGTATTGACCTTTAAGTTCTTATTGCTATTCCCCTTAAATCAACCAAACATTATCTACCTATATACAAATATTATCTACATTTAAAAGTAATTTTACAAGCAATCTTGAGATTACTATTGTTGTCTGTTCCTTTTTTTCTCTCTCTCTCTCTCTCTCTCTCTCTCTCTCTCTCTCTCTCTCTCTCTCTCTCTCTCTCCACCAAGCACTTACTCACAGGGCGAGAGTGGCATCTGGTAAGAGTGACGCTGTATGTTTTTTTTTTTTTTTTTTTTTTTAAAGTTTAATTTTATTTCTCTCTGGGCAGCAGGATTGGAAAGAGGGCAGGTCTGGGTTCTGCAGAGCTCCAGGCCTCTTTGGTGTACTTACTTAAATCATTTGACAGCGATCAGGTTCTACGATCATTGTTTTAAAAAAATGAAATTAAAAGTGTCTGGTTGACCACATTAATACCAAAAGCTTGGCTTTGCCCGTCTGGTTGTTGTCTTTCCACCTCTGCAAAGATCCAGCTGCCTGTTCCTGTTGCCACCGGTGTTTCTGCTTCTGTTCGATTAGACCTCTGCTCAAGCTGAAGTTACTAGAGGTCACTGGACTCCATGTAAGGATGATAAAGGTGTCATTTGTTCTGCCCCGACAGGAGCAACAAAGCTGTCAGGAGAGCGAGGGAGAAACAGTTTGCACAAGCCCACAGATTCATGAGAACAGTTCTACAGGAAGGTCAGAGGTCAGGGTCAGCTACAGATCAGCAGCCAGTAAACAACATACCATTGTCTGTGAGGTATCGTACAAACTGTAACTGCTGCTGTCCGTATAATGAAATGAAAGTTTTTTTTTTTTTTCTTCCATAGTTTTTATGTAGATTGACAGACTCAGGAACTCTCAGGCAGTAGAGTAACCATCCCAGTCAACTTGTGTCTGCCTTAATTGGATTTCTGGCAATGATGTTAGAATGTAGCACATACAGTGTCCTTGAATGCACCACCGAGGAGAGCTATGGTGTGGTCACAAATGCAGGCGAGTGACAATCACCTGCCGAGGTCAGATATGGTTGGTGTACAAGGTGCCCCTCACAGAAATCAGTTTGCTACCCACATGTAGTCCGTTTGCAGGGTCAACCCCACTTTGCTGGTCAAATATAATAATATAATATCAAACACATGGCTGAGATGCCAATCTGCTTTCCTACCGGAAACTACAGTTTTAATTGGCAATGTTGATTTCGGGTATGTGTGCCCCTGCTTGCAGATCCTCACAGCAAAAATGTAACTTTGCCCCAAAAAACTCAAATGCAGCAAATGTTGGAGGATTGGATTACCTGTTTTTAAAGCTGCTCTTTTAAATCGACAATTGATGAAATGAATTAATTGGATGTGACAGGTTTCGTTTGTAATGATAAAACCATCCAAAACAACTCATGGACCATTTTAGCTTGTTGCAGCTCATTGTTTTGGTTTTATGACCTGCAACTGTTTATGTTCACCACTCGTCAAACAGCAGACGCAGTTAGAATTGAGCTACATTTAGGGGTATTTAGCAGCCGAAGAGTGAACATTGAACTTCACATAATTCTAATATTGCTCTGTGTCGGCATTTGCTAACTAATACGTCAACTTTTTAAGATGATAATACGCTAGTGTTCTGTTTTCAGCTCGGTTCTTCAAGTGGCCAAAAATCTATTAAAGCTAGTTTTAATTTCAAGTCTGTGCAAGATGATAGCACCCCAAAATAAATGGGAATAATTTCTGTTATCCTTTTACAATGGTCAGCTGTAATGTGAAGAATACAGAATGTAAGTTTTCAGTTACAAACAGTGGGATGGTCCTTTAAAACCAGCTGATAGAAGGTGCAGAACCAGGTGAGAGAAATCAGTAGCTACAACCCACGGACGTGTATGCTAAAAATTCTAATTTATTTATAAATGTCTCAAGATATACAAGCATGAAGAACATTCCTAAATGCTTTGTTTCCACTCTAAACTACCTGATATTGAATGAACATTAGAAAAATAAAAGTGTATGTGGCAAGGTTATTACAGTTAGAGGCCATATTATGCTTTTTGGAGTTTTCCCTGTGCTTAAATGTGTCGTAGATTTTTTTGTGTGTATATGTAAAAGGTCTGAAAAGTGAAAAAAGAGCTATTGCTGCTGCACTGCCTGACATCCTGTTTGTATTCATCCTTTTCTTCCGTTCAACAATATCAAACGCAGCACACCTGGATAGCTGACACTCCTGTCCCGCCCGCTGACACTTGGTGAATCTACCTCGCTCTACGCCATTGTTGTTTTGCTAATACCAACGAAGCCAATTTCTCTGTTTCTGTCTGCAAGAACCAACACAAAACTCTTCATCTACTCCCTTCATTTGAGGAAAAACTTTATGTTTGATGGCAATGTGGGAAGGGTTATACAAGGGCCAGTACAAGGCTAAGACACAGCGGGAACTGCTCTGTTGTTCACTTCACAGACCAGCACAATGTCTCCATCATCTGAGGAAGACAGAGCCGGTGTAATCACTTTATTTTCAGTGGAAATGTTACAGAACTGTCCTCACAATGACGGGAAAACTGGAGTGTGTTTGTGCATTATACCAAAGTCTGTTTTACGGGTTAAACAGTCAAACTGAAGGAATGAATTTTCTTGGAAACATTGTGTAACTTTGATTAGCACCCAGCGGTTAAGTTAGCTAATTTAGCTCATAGCTACAAACAGCGGTGCTGAAGCAGAAACGCGGCGCGTGCTCAGGCTTGTGGGAACTGACCAATTGGAGCAGACTGGTCTACTCAGGGAGGGAGGAGCTCAGACTGAGTGTTAGACAGGGTGGAAAGAGGTGCTGCAGCAATGGCAAGTATGACTCAAATAATGTGTTTTTCTTTTTAACTTAAAAGCATGTAAACCTATGATAGTAGGCCCCCAAATACAAATATAAACCTCATTAATAACTTAAATCTAAATCTAGGTGTGAAAAGAAATGTTTAGTTATCTGAAATAAAAACTACAAATCAAAACAAATCCTTACTGAAACAATATTATGTACTTACAAAACTATTGCGTAAGTAAAATCAAATATGTACACATCTTTAGTTTTAGATTTTTCTTTTTTGTTCTATTGACAAAATTGACCAAACTAACAAGCATGAGGAGGCATTGGTGTACAGAGACTGAGGTGTGTTTGAAATTAAGAAAAACTAAAACTTTTTGGAATAATAAAAAGTGAACCCTCTCTGGAAACTAACTGAAAACAAATAAAAAATGAAATAGTATTATAAAACTACAATAACTGGTATGTGGAGTGTTATGTGAAGTGAAATGAGTCAATATACAACACAGATGAACATTTAAACCCACGAGTTTATTTGGATTCTAAAAACTATATTGACATGATTGACAACATAACCCGGCTCAGAAAGTCATTTCTAATTTAAAAAAAGGAACCAAAATAAATAAAAAGGATTATGTCATATTGTTGTGGTTAATGTAGCTGTTGTAGAGCGTTACCACAGAGAGATGAGTAAACTAGAGTGAAAAGATGAGCTGGGTCTAACTGGATGTAGACTGCAGTCAAAACACAAGGACACACTGAGTCTTCCCACAGGCGGGTTCTGGCTGCGGCAGCAGTTCCTGCTGTCACTTTGGTCCGTCTGTTCCTCGGGGGGAGATTATTTTAAGATGCACAAGGTCACCTTAAACTTTAGGATATATGATCATGATGTTGGCTGTAGACTTTTCTTGCTTACTAGACCTCCAGCAGACTAATAATGGATGCTGGTACCGACACAGGAATGATTCAGTGCATCTGCCTGTAGGTGTGAAGGCAGTTAAACACAGGAGCCTACAGATACTTTAGCTTGTTCTGTAACATTATGATCAGGCTTAATACAGTAGATCAGGCAGCTACTGTCAGGAGATCACATCAATTAAAAAAAAAAAGTAGAATATTTAGTGAGAACCTGACAATCATTGGACAGTTAAAACTTGGATTTATGGTTCACAGGAAAGGTTTTTGTACCATCCTATGATTGTCCACTGAACTTAAAGAGCGACGCAACACCACAACAATAATCGTTTTAAGCAAAAATGCCAAAAATTCTCTTGTTCCGGCTGGTTTTCTTAGCCTTATATGATAGTAAATTGAACCGTTGGTCATATAAAACAGGTTTAAAGACTTGAGGGGCATTTCTTTATTATTTTTTGAATTGATCAGACAAATCGATAGGGAAAATAATCGTTAGTTGCAGCCCTACTTCTCGCCTTGCTGCAGATGTGATGCAGTGTACGCAAGGGTATGACAGTACACCATGACATCACTCTTGGGTGTGGTTACAGGTGCAACCCCTGAGCTGCCCAGAGAGTGCATTAAAACCTTGCCCTTCCTTTACCCTTTAAGGTTTGTGAATGCACCAAATCCCCAAAACTTACCAGAGATAATAATACTTTATTAAATAATATTAGTATGTTTGGCATCTTTGATTAATATTTTAACTACACCGCGCATTTTAAATGACATACTGCACATTTAGGTGCCCTAACTCGTCACAATTTAATGAATACAACAGGAGTCCATTAAGCTAGCAGCAGGCCAGTCAGCAGAACCCAGCACCAGGAAGACTTAATATGTGTGAAATTTATTATGACTGTAACCTTCGTCCAGAACATCCCACCACTGTGGGCGAGCAACACAGTAAAATCCAACCAGCCTTTAAAAAACCGCCCAGAGGCTTCCTCTTCCACTAACACACCATTTCCACTCTAACATTAACAGCTGATATTGAGTAACCATGTTTAACAAAAAAAAAAAAAGACATTGAGGGTTTACTTGTACATTTTTCAAAAAAAAAAAAGAGCATTAGTCACATTAATACAGAAATAAACAAATGGCACATTGAATTCCTAATTTAAAAATAAAGTGGTGCTTGAGGAACTTTCTTACTGAGGAGACAAGTTAAATAAATTACTACCATAACGTTACATACAAATCTGGAGTAGTATATACAAAGGAGTTATTAGACACAAAAAAAAATCTACAATTTCAAATTTTATGTTCAACAAAGACAGCAGTAGAACCTTATTTTACATAGCAGGGTTTGTGTTAACAAGTGTGGGTCAGAGTGGTTTGTGTGTGTGGAGGAGAGGGGTGAATAGAGGTGGGGGGAGGCAGTCTGAAAAACCATTGACCTTAAAATAAAAAAAGTGACTTGATGTTTGAAACCTTCCAGCTAAACGTACTGTTTCTCTACAAATCTAACCGACGTAGACAGTGACAAGTGCTAAACTTAAACACTGGTATCGACACTGGTGGAAGTGCGTCTGAGCAGCATCACATTCACAGCTGACACACTGTATGTGACCAGCTCTCAGACGTTCGCATGACTTTACCTGTCATTAAAGGAAAATCCTGGGATTTTTCTACCCAAGGCTTACTTTCATAATTGACCCTTCCTATGTCCCGCCTCTTTTTGCTCTGTGCTCCAATAACAGTTGAACAATCCTCCGTCAAAACCTACATTTTAAAGACGGTTAAAAGATAAAACAAATATCGTCACATCTTAAGTTAGCATATGTTATCAATTATCAATTATCTTCCTGTATGTGAAATGATAAGCAATAAATGTTTGGTATTTCTGTAGATCAATGGGTAATATACAAGTTGGTTAACCATACAGCTCGATTGGTCAGGCAGCTGGATGCCCGGCTTACCAAACTAGCTTGCTGTTAGCCACAATAGCTAATATATGGGGGCTAATTTCTGTGTTTACTTTCTTCATAGTCATAATAGATGGAGGTTGAAAAACACCAGAATTTTCCTTTAAATAACATCCAGTTTCTGACACTTTGAGCACTGTGGTGAGTCAATGTCCATCTCTAAAAACTGTGGTCTCTCCAAAGCATCCCATAATATCACTCTGTTCATTAGTATCCCTCCTCTTTATCTCCTACCTTCCAGATCTCCTTCTATAGATTGTTTTTTAAGACATCACTACAAAATAAATCCCTCCTTTTTCCTTCAGCATCCCTTAAAAATCTGAATGTTAATAGTGGTTGTACTGATTAAAAACACACAGGTGAAGAGTTTAGCTTAGTGAGGGAAGTTTTGTCTACTTTGTAAACACTCTCAGTGAAAGTTCACCGACACACTCAATACCTGACACGCTCCAATCTCCAACTGGCTCTCCTGGTTTGATCTCTACGACTGATTCATGGCTTTCACAGTATATCACCACCTGCTGAGGACAGCTGGTGGGCATTGATCTCTTTCTGGTAAAAATTTGAGATTTTGGAAAACAAAAAAAGTAAAGGAAATCCTTCATGAACCGTTGAGGAGCCCTCCCCTCCCCCTCCCTCCCTTCCCCTTGCAGCTGCAGCAACACACTCGACTTCCTCTGAAACGTCCTCTGACTATTACTGCGAATGGGCGACACCAGGCAGTGAGAGGCAAAGAGAGCAGAGACCTCTGAGGACCAGGAGGATGAGCGTTGGCGGTCGGCGTTGTGTGTTCCTCAGGGTTTTGGTCCGTCAACCCACCAGTGCGTGTTTCTGATCTTTCTCCGGAGCAGTCCGAGTCCTGTACGTAGCCGGGCCGATGGGCGACTGCAGCTCCTCCGTCATTCCTCCTCGGAGTGTCTTAAAGGGGAGAGTGGGGTTAGTAGGGGGGAGAGCGGGTTGTGGTTTACAGTTGGAGGGTCTGGAAAGATCTTCATGCTGGTCCAAGCTGCAGGGCGCCACCAGAAATGCAACGACGTGCTTTAATATGCATTGTTTGTGTGCGTACGGACATCGAACGCACACAGTGGTCAGACTGTCGGGGAGGTGGGAGGCTGCAGCTACTTGGTGAGACGACAGCGAGTGGTTCTTCAGGGACACTTGTTTTTTTCTTTTTCTTATTTTTATAACAAAAACACTGAAACGTTGTGACGCAAGGTTATTAGTTCAACACTAGCGAACAGAACAGAGCTTAAGTGGTGAAAGGCCCCTTCCCCTCTCCCAGTCCGCTGGGATTGGTCGGCAGCGATGTCCGTCAGGTGCCGCAGCACTGCTCATTCGTTCCTGGTTGCATTGCTCCTTAAAGAGTCCCGCCTCCTCTCTAGGCATCTGACAGGCAGTTCTGAACACTGTCCATCCACAGCTGGGCGTTCATGCTGTCCTGGGCACAGAAGTTGTACACTCGTTTGGTCGTCTTGAGCTGAAAGATGACAGGAAAGAAATGAATTCCACCATGGTTAATTGCCTTTAAATGATAGTGACTGCTGAAGAGTGACAAGAAAGAGGCGAGAGAGAGGAATTCAGCTGTTTGTGTTTATCTGGTTTCACTTGTTGACTGCTATACGTGGCACAATAATCTGGTGGCATGACTTTCTCCTCACTCAATAACTCCCAAAATTGTGTTTAAGGGAGTCTGGGGGTAGTGCAGTCATTAGTTCAGCGGTCAAATCAACTCAAACAGACGGTTTGTATGTTCACAAACATCTGCTGCTTATCTCAGCAGGTAAAACAGCCCAGCATGCTCTGTGTACTTACAGCACGTCAGCTGAGTAGGCGTTCGTTCTGTGTGGCCCAGGATGCATTAGCGTTTACACTATAGAAGATATGTGGTCAAATGCGTTCCAGACCACCTCAGGAAGTGGTTCGAGTGGGCGTTTCCGCTTGTATTTAGAAGTGTCCACTTGTGATCGAATCACCAAGACACATGTTAATCCCAGGTGTAGACAGGCTCAGAGTGACTTGAAGTGAATGTGAACTTACATCAAAGAAGGCCTTCTCCTCGATGTTTTTTGGCGCTCCCATGGTAGGCGTTCCTGGAATAACGGACTCCACCTCGGCAAGCTCGATCACTCCTTTACACTCCTTGTCCTGCCTGCTCTCGTAGTATCTCAGCTGGGGACAGGGACACATTGTTAGAGACAGACACTTCTTAATAGTTTAAGAAAGAAGTGCCAAATCTGAAACCTCATAGTGGGCCACAGGGCAACAGCAAATACCTATTGTAATGTATTCTTAAGATTCAAAATGGTACCAGGATCGCAAGGTCCCTTAATTAACTGACTTCCCGTGCCAAGTGTCACTCTCCCCACCATGCTGTTAAGAAAAATTACTAACCTCAAGAATAAATTCTAATTTTTTTAATTCATTTTAAATAGTTTTTTACTAGAAACATTCAGCAGCTCAAATCCAACCTTATGACAGGCTGCCATAAAAATATTCTGCTCTATAAGTAATTTCATCCTAAGCACCCCTCCATCTTACCTGATGTTTGGTCTTGTCCAACACGAACCACCGTGGTTTCCATGGTTTCAACAACGCCCCTTTCTTAAACAGGATGCCTTCAAAACTCCTGATGGGAGAGAGTCAAACTAAAATGAAGACATGTTTGATATTGGATTTCTCTGAAAAATAGTTCAACTGTTGAACCAAACAGCCGCGTTACCTTATAACTGTTCACACACATAATGTGGAAAAATCAACACACCAAGTGATGTCTCAGTTTATTTAATGTATACAAATGAAGCCTCTGTGTCTGTTTTCTTTTCAGTTGTATCTGTCACTTACAGATGGTCCCGTCAAAGAGCAGTGAGCCATGTGGCGTCTTTCTCAGGGACGCTGGAGCAGGGTGGCTTTGTTTAAAAACACTACAAATCCTCACACAGACCAGCTCTCCTCTCAGTCCCTTGGTAAAGCGCCAGGAGTACAAACCTGTTCTCGCTCTCCGTGCTCTGGAACTGGCTATAGAGCGTGCTGGTGCTGGGCCGACCGGCTACAGGCGTGGAGGTGGCGCTGGCCTCGCACTCCAGAGCCAGGTTGATGGAGGACCCCACGCCGCTCTCCTGCAGGTAGACGCCCTGAGAACGGCGCTGGTGGCTCAGGTTGGACGACATCAGCAAGGAGCTGGAGAACGAAGGCTGAAGAGGAAAGACAGACGGAAGGACAAGCTTCAGTGAGTTTGAACCAATGAACCAGTGGGAATGCTTTCAAACACTCACTTAATTCAGCCATTTCCACTCAACAATATGCCAATAATCCAAAAGCTTCAGTATTTGTACTTCACACATACAGACAGCACGGAACAGTCCTTTATGTAATTAACTGCATTCTGCTTTTCTACCACAAGATGTCAGTGGAAAACTGTTACCACCATCTGTCTTCATCTTAACATTCAATTTAAAACAGCCTGTCAATCAGGTGTTCAGTGTACATACACTGGTTCCATGGGGACACAGCTGATGGCTGTAGATCAGTAACAATGTGCTGCTCTCTGACACACAGCTGCATACAGCGTGGAAAGGAGGAGCAAAGAGAGATAAAGTGGTGCTGGAGATTTCAAACATTAATATAGCAGCAAACTATTTGATGAAAAGAAAGATTGGAGTCATGGTGTCCTCAGCAGATGTGACTGAAGCTGCTGTTTTTCTCATCTAACGCCACTCTAACTGTGAATTAAGAATTTATTTCTACCAAATCAGCATCAGTGATTGTTGGAAAGACTAACAGATGGTTTTGTTTATGGAGTCAGTGAAACTCTGAACTCTGTTCCCTACAGGCTGAGAATCTGTTCACTCAGAAATCCAAAACTTCAGTGTGTTGGATCTGCAACCTGATCTTCAGATTAAGAGTTTTTACAAAAGATTGTACTTGAACAGAACATTTACTGTATTCCTGTGCAGTTCAGTAGAGAGATCTTTTTGGGTGCTAAAATGAAGCCGTTGGTCTCACCTTGCTCTCCAGTTTGGTCTCAGTTCTCTGCGTGGTCTTGATTTTGTCCCAGGTGTCCTTCCACTTCTCAGACGTCTGGCCGAGCTCCGCCTCCAGACTCTGCAGGTCCTGCAGCAGCTTGGTGATGGCGTCGGGCACCACCTTGCTCAGGCTGTCGTAGCACGGCCACACAATGTGGCGCTGGGACTTGGGGCCGCTGGTGTCGGGTTTCTCTGGCGTCTCCTCTGCCACGCGCTCCTGCCGGCCCCTCAGCTCCCAGTCGTAGGAGGGCCCCTCCGACAGAGTCTCCTCCATGTAGAAGTCCCAGACCTTCAGGTTAGAGATGAAGGTGTACGGCCGCAGCACCTGGAACACAGCATTGTGTTTCAATGCTCCTATGATGTTGATGATGACTGAATAAACGTAAATGTGTTAAATGTTGGCTGGTAGGTGTGTTTGTACGTGTTGTGTCCTGTTGGGTGAGAGTGCAGTGGGCTCACCTCCTCATCCTCAGGAGAGAACATGTAGTTGTAGAAGATGGGCGTTTTCTTGTTGAGTCTGTCGATGTAGTCCCATACAGACTTACACACCTGGGGGCTTTTCCTCTCACCTTTCTCCTCATACAGCACTCCTGCACGCACACGCACACACAGGACTCATCAGGAACACACACACGCTGTATCTATGACTGTGTTTATGAGGCAGTGTTACAGTTGCTCTGAATAAATCACACCCTGTGGACTCTGAAATGTTCTTACCCAGCTCTATGCGCTCGTAGTCAGAGTCGAGCAGGAAGGTGCGGAAGCGGTTGGACACGTAGTGGTAGGCCAAGAACTTCAGGTAGTACTGACTGAACTCAAACTCCATGGGGAACTGGAGGTGGATCTGAGGGTGGAGGGGCAGAGAAACAGGTCAGGGCTACAGTTTAAATGGATGCTGACAGCCAGTGTGCACAGATGAAGTAATGTATGTCTCACAGAACCCTACAGACCTGGATGCAGGAACTATAAACTGGCTTTAAGGTGGAGATTTCCTGCAGGTTTCAAGGCACCTACAAATCCTCTAAAACTCTGTTTGTCTCTGAGGACAAAAGTGGTCTTTTCAAAGGAAAAGCCACTGCAGTGACACTACTAAAGCTTGTACACATTCTACCGTATGTCATCTATTTATTACTTAACAGATTTCTATAAGAAATCCATTCAATAGGGCCTTTCACACTGCATATTCTAAGCATAGCCCTGGGATAAGAGTGTACACACACTTTTAACCCAGAGTTAACCTAAACCCAGGGCTAAGCAGGGGCCATATGATTGACACTGCACTTGTACTAGCCCTGGGTTGGAACACGTGACTAATGTTTACAGCAAGTTGGGGTTAGAATGCGCCAGGAATGTGTCAGTGTGAAAGCTTTCTTAGCCTAGTGCTAACAGCTATCTTAGCCTGGGGCTAAGAAGGGTCTAAGACTGCTTTTAGCTCTGGGCAGTGCAGTTTGAAAAGCCCTCATGTGTAATGGCTACCAGTAGAAATGGTCGATTTCAGTTGCACCATGCCTCTCTTTCTATTCTTCATAAAGATGCTATTTTCATACAGCACAGAGAGCGGAAACAACTGTAACATGGTCATCTGCTCCGATGTGGCGGACAGCAGAATATTTAGCGGTGGTCAGAACTCTGAAGCTAAATGAAACCACACTTCCTGCGTGTGATAAGAGGGCAGAACTCACGTCAGTAATCAGCAAAACAGGAAATACAGGCAGGCTCACAGGTAAACACACACAGGGCATTATAAATATATATAGTATGAGGAAAGAACAGCGGGTCACTGACCTTCAGTGAAGACATATATATCATACACTCTTACTAATACTGTGTTGTTGATGTGTGTTTAGTTGCACTTTGCAATTATCCTGTCAAGTGCACATTCCTTGTACATGGACTTAATCAGTTAACTTCTTTTAAAAGTGCTATATTTAAACAAACTTGTTATTATGTCTGAGTCTGATCTCTAGAAGTTAGAAAGCATATCTGAATGGCAGCCATGAAAGCAGGATGTCCACCAGAAAACTGAGCTGTACGTCACATTCATTCAGTGGTTTCCTGGAGTCAGAAATCATCCTGTCGGCACTGTCCTTCTGCTGACCTCTGACCTCACACGGAGCGCTGCTGACCCACCTGGTGTACACAGTCCAGGAACTGCAGGAAGACGGGGGTGAAGCCGCTGCTCTGGCTGCCCAGCGTCTGCGCTCCGCGGTGGCTGAACCTGTGCCCGAACGACAGCCACTCCTTCTCCACCAGCAGGCGGAAGCCGTCAAAGGTTCGGTAGTACGGATCAGATAGCAGCTGCACCAGGGACACCACCTGCACACACACACACACACACACACACACACACACACACACACACACACACACACACACACACAACACACCCGCACACAGGCACACACACACACACACACACACACACACACACAGAAACAGTGTGTCACACTGAGCCTCGCTACAGGGAATCAGCTCTCAGCAATAATGTTTCTGAGTGTCAGTCAAACCTGCGTGGTGACATCCCAGCCGTCCTCCAGGCTGACCATGACCGACGAACCCGTATCCAATAGCTCCACCACCAGGACGGACACCTGCAGCACCCTGTGTAGCTGAACACACACACATGCAGAGTTAGTTTAAAAACTACAGCTCACAAAATAAGCAGGCTGGAGCAGCAAGCACTAACCAGAGCCATCCACTCGGACTCCTCCAGGCAGCGCTGGAAGCTCATGTTGGGGTCAGAGGTCGGGGAGCTTGGCACGCAGGCCTTCATCAGCTTCTTGAAGCTGTTCTTCACCTGCCGCACGTCACACACCTCGATGGGAACCACCTCCCACTGCTGGAACGAGTCCTGCTTCCCTCCCTGAACACAACAAGATAATACTGAGAACTCCCAACCAGAACCTCATTCCAGAGCGGATCCATACACTCCTTCTCTCCTTAATCACAGCAGACTCTCTAAACATTCTTTAGCGTGTCCCTGGTTACCTTGAGCTGGGCCTTGTCTCCGATGATGTAGAGGTAGGCCTTCTGCTGGCGGAGAAACAGAGCCTCGCTCGGCCCTCCGTTGGGCTGTGGAGACTCTTTCCCTGCCAGACGTGTCCCCACGTCTGGGTTGTAGGCACTTAGACGTCCGCTGCCCCGGATACTGCCCCACTTACCTGCAAATAACACACACACACAGAAAATATAGAATCTTCAAGGGAACCATGACACTGAATCATCATACCTCATCTGTTACACAGCAATTAAAGGATCTTTCCAGTTAATTTCAAGCCAAGCTGTAATAAAGCGGAATGATCTTTTAAAAACACTGATGTGTGTACCTTCCACAGCTGCTAATAGCCATGCTGGTAAACAAGGCACAACACTACCCGGTCCAGTTTGCTACATCTGGCTCAATGACAGCTACATTCTGATGAAACAGTCGATTCTGACTGCCGCTGACATTCAACAGAGAGAAGAAGAATCAAACAGGAAACAACAAACAGGACGTCAGACAGCAGAGCTGCTACAGCAGCAGCATGCACATACAGCAGCTCTCTGCTAAACACAAGCAATAACAGAGTCCATTAGTCCGCAGAGACAGCACACTATCAGTCAGGAACCACGGCAAACACAGTGACGCTACTGGGAAATAGATCTGATTGGTTAGACAGGAGGGGAGGGGGCGGGGCCTACTGTACCTCTAGGAGGGTTCCTGGCCTTGCCAGACACTTTGGGCTGGGAGAGGGAGATGACTTTCGCCCTTTGACCCAGAGCTGAGGTCAAACGACAAAGACGGCCCGTTAAACAACAACACCACACAGTGGAGGATGGATCATTCTCTCTCTCTCTCTCTCTCTCACACACACTCTCTGTCTCTCACACTCTCACACACACACATACTACAGCTACAAGGGATGCATTAACTCATTCATCATCCTCCTGGTCCCAGTTTCAGTAATAGATAAATCTACAATTCACACAGTTTGTATTGAAACCAGGACTGTAACTAAAGCTAACAGAAACTACAGGAGCAATAGCGAGACACACACACACACAAAAGTGTCTCACCTCCTCTGCTGAAGGTTCCAGGAACATCGTCCTTGGTACCCATCACCTGCTTCATCAGAGCGCCAATCTTGGGCTGCCTGAGCTTATCTGAGGAGTCTGTGGACAGAAGAAATCATCAACTCTGTGACCCCCCCCCACAATCCCAGTGAGCACTGGGTCAGTGTGTGTTCACTCACCGGAGGTGCTCATATGTGTGGAGGTGAAGCCGCTGAGTGTGTTCCTGCCGCTGCTCTCGCTGTAAGAAGGCATGGAGCTGATGATGGCCTGCAGGTATTTCTCCTGCTCCAGACTGGTGGAGTCTGCCTGGGAGGGAACTGCATGGAGAACGAAAGGCATCAACAAACCTTTATGGTTCCCGCAACCAATGCCTTTTTCAGGGTCATTTCAGCTACGACAGCAGTTCTTGACAGAAACATGTATTCTCCCTATCTCTTGCATCTTTGATCACTAGGGTCAGAGTAACAGTTTATAATCAGGACCTCTACCCCACTACAGGCCACTCCTCCTCTGAAATGAGTGGAACAAATAACCAGCAACAATCCCTGGTAACATAAAGGTTCAACACTATAGATTTTGGTTGTTCACCTGAAGTAGGGGCATTCGGGGACTTGAAGAAGCCCACCACCCCCTTTGCGTGGAGTCCGGCAGACCGCAGCAGGACGGCCTTGGTTCGTGAATTCCTCCAGCAAACCACGGGGAAGCGATTCTGCCGGTAGCAGCGGCAGATTCTCTGGATGGTTGTGTCTGGGATGCTCTGAGGCACAATCAGCAGGCCAGGGTAGCTGTGACACACACACACACACACACACACACACACACACACACACACAGTGTATTAAACAGTGAGGAGATACTGTCCATATATGACTCCCACTTCTTGCCCCTCATCTGTGTGTTGTCCTCCAGCGCTCACTCACCTCCTGCAGACAGTGTACATGCGGTTGACGGTGGAAATCCTGAAAGGCTCGTTCTTAGAACGTGTCAGGCTGTTACTGAGCGTGCCCAGTCCCAGGCGCTGGTAGTCGCGGCAACAGGCACGCTCCACAACGTTGCTCATGGTCTGTCTGTCCGATGAGCGGATGGTGGAGGAGAGGGTGAGGGAGCTCTGGTCCACCTCCTCTGAAACTGTGGAGGCACACAGGACAACAGGGTTGTGAAGACTACAGGTGAGCTGGGAACCTCAATGGAGTTCTTCTAGTTTGGACATTTCGCACAATAAATATACGACAATGTCAAAATCTGAGAAGGCCTGAAAAGAGGCTTAAACTGGGCTTACCTGAGATTTCATCCTCATCCAGCTCTGACTGGAAGCTGCTCCTGTTCTCCCAGGTGGGGGGAGAATACTTCTTTCTGGTCACATATTGCCGGCCGATAGTCCTCTTGGCGCTCTTCACCAGGTTTTTGGAAAGCGTCCTGACAAAGACAAGGAGGGAGAAAGAAAAGGGAAAGTTGAACATTTTATTAGAAGAAGAAGAAGAAGAAGAAGAAGAAGATATACTTTATTAATCCCCTAGGGGAAATTGTTCTTTTCACTCTTTTTTATACACGCACACACACAGGCTGAAACACACACTTCATGCACTTGTGGACATGCAACAGGGAGAGAGATGGTGGAGTGATGGGGCTGCCACGTTAACAGCGCCCCATTATTACATGTCTGTGCTGATTCTACAGCAGTTAGTCACTCGGCATCCACTTCCTGTCGGGTCTTTTAGAACACAGATATGCTTTTAGATTCGCAGCAGCTGACAAAGAGCTGATTTGACTCGATGTTCGTCTCTGTGCATAATCGACAGCCATGAATTCACTGGTGTGTTGCTGGTTTAGCATGCCACACAGCCAAGATTCAGTCAAGATTAATATGTCAGAATGGAACACACACACACACACACACACACACACACACACACACACACACACACACACACACACACACACACACACACACACACACACACACACACACAGTGCAGGGATGGAAACAAC